TTCAGTTGCACTGCAAGGCAAGTTACTTTTTGTTTTGGAAACCTACCTTTACTGTTATTCCAAGACCCGGAATACGGATTTTGATTTATGATACTCATGGATGGTCGTGAGTTCACAATGAGCATTATTAAACAAGTCATCTTAACAATTTTTTATTTTCAATTTGGGAAAAAAAATGATTGTCCTTATATTTTTAGATGGATGGAGACTAGGCAATAGAAAAAACATTGTTAAATTTAAGAAAATCCACTGGTAGTAGTTTCTTATGTGCCTCCATTTTACTGGTTGAACAAGTATAATGTCTACCCTCCTAATGATACAGGAGTTAGCTACCCTGATGATATGCAAAGTTCTGAATTTCTATGCTCTCATTGCATACCTTCATATTTCTGTGGAGTTCACCATAATTACATTATCATTGTGCAGAAAAAACCGCTACCTGAATTTTGGCGGGATCAGTATGTGGTGAGTGTCCATGCTGTTTGTGTATTTCTTCTCTTCTATTGTTTGTTGATCTGTTGACTTTAAATTTTACTATAAGATCTTGACATGCTATACCAATCTATAAGCTTCTTCTTCTTTATACTGTTGAACTGTTTTCTAAAGTCTGTTCACTTTTGCAGCCTCCAGATACATCCAAGATTCATAATTGTATACCTGATGAACACTATGTCCAAACTCTGCTTGCTGTAAGTTGTTTTTTGTGATCTAAACCCGTCTTGACAACTTGATTCTTTGCCCTAAGATATTACTGATTTCACTTCAAACAATGATACTGTCAACAAAAATTCCTTTGCATGCACCATTGGTAGCATAATGTAATTCATTCTCTACAACAGCTCAATTCAAGTTTGAGCTGATTGACAATACATTTTACTATTTCATGACCTGATTGAGTACTAATAGTGTTAACTGTTTATGAAGAAGTAATTGCTAATATAATAACCTTGGCAGTTGCATTGTATTTTTGTCTTTACCCCCACAAAAAAAAAAAAAGGAAGAGAAGAAAACAAGCACTATGCCTAAATCCCAACTAAAAGAAGAAGAGAAGAAAACAAGCACTATGCCTAAATCCAAACTATGTTAGATTCGGCTACCTAATCCTCCTGGCTCATGTCGGACCTTTTAAGCCTGTCTAAGGCCAATATTATTTAATAAATAAGATTACCTCATCTTGTGCAGTTAGTTGAGTTCAGCTAGAGTAAACTCGGGTAGGTTTTTATATCTCATTAATAGGTTGGGTAATTACTAACTAGAAAAGTTATTAATGGATGGAATTTGAATAATGCAAGAGGAAATGAGGCATAATTGCTCTAAATGTAACCTAAGTTTTCATTTGATACCTTAGAATCAACCTTTATCTTTTTTCCCTGAGAATCTTTTCATTTAATATAGCATGAAGGGCTTGAAGGTGAAATTACACGGAGGACACTGACTCACACTGCATGGCTTATTTTATCCTCCAAGGAGCGTGAACGAAAAGGATGGCATCCTGTTACCTATAAATTAGCCGATGCTACTCCCATGTTAATCCAATCTATCAAGGTACTCTTGGTTCTTTTCATCAAGCAGATTAGTAGATTATCCAGGTCTACTAGCAGGAAACACGATGATCATTTGGGAGAAAAACATTTCAGAAAATTATATCACTCATATATCGACAAGAGGAGAAGATAATGAGAAATAGTAATCCCACTCAGCAATTGACCTCCTCTTTGTCAGCAATTGAAATGCGCATGATTGTCTTACTATATATGGCTGAATTTTCCTGTGTAAAATGATGAATATGCACAAACCTTAGAGATCTGTTGGATTTGACAGGACATAGACAATATAAATTATGAGACAGAACACCGGAGAGAGTGGTGCACCAGCAAGGAGAAACCTGCCCCTTGTTTCCTTTTTGCAAGGAAATTCACACGGCCTGCAGCTCTGAGGCTTCTCAATATGGTTAGTGCCATATTGCCTTCATTGTAGCTAAAAAATCAGTACAATCTATCTTTCAGTTGTTATTTTCCTTTTCGTTTTCTCTAATTTTGTATCTGGTTCCATTTTTGTGGATGGTCATTGTGTCTCTAGCAGTCTGCGCTTGGACTTCACCACGAAGAAATAAACAACGTTTGACACCATGGTGAAATGAGCAACATTTGACATCTACAGTACTGTACCATCTAGCTATTAGAAGATATAGAAAGTTGACTAGCTACAGAAAATTGTAATCTAGCTGATAAATGGGGAAGATGTGTAAGTAGAAAGAAAAATTGTTATGCCAATTTGTATATTTGTAAAATTTTCCTTTATACTCAATAATGTTTGGTCCTATATGTATGTAGAGTGAGCTCAATCCATTAAATTATTTTTCTATTTTTGTTTCCACATAGTAACGTCATTTTATTCGTTAGTGACAAACGGATTACATTGAAAATAGATTGAGCTAAAAAGGATTGGGTAAGACATTCTTTTTTTGAACAATTCTGATATTTTGCAAATAAAAAAATTAATTCTCTAAACTTGATGATTTAAGATTTTGAATAAGTTTATGTTTTAAACACGTTCGATGTTTTCTTTTTTAAGTGTTTGAATGTAGGGTTAGACTCGGCATGTTGTATTATGATGAATGCTGATGTTGTTGGTTCCAAACTTTGAATGTGTTTTTAAATGAAAATTTCGACTAATAAATTTGAGAAAAAGAATATTCTTAATTTGATTTGATATTAAAAAAAAAATTTAATATGAATCTTAATTAAATCGACATTTTAATGTTTTTTTCATAACTTTATAAGGAGAATTGGAGTCAAAAAACCATGTTATTAAGGCTTTTTTAATATTGTTTTGTTTTTAATACAACTTTTGATTTAATCCGAGCGAATAAAAGAAACATAAAACTTATTGCCTAGTATATTTGTTTTGTAATGAGTTGTAACTTCGCTTTAGTTCCCAAAAATGATAAGCTACGGAATAAAACTTACATCAAGCCAATACATATATAATATGTGTTTAAAATTTACTTTAACTAATCATTGTTAATTAAAATGTTTTTTTTCTAAATTATCTCTTAATTGAACTCAAAAAGATAATGATCGCAAAATACATTATTATATTATATATTTATAAAATACTTTTGAAGTAATGATTGTATAAAATCTCGATCTCTCTATTGCTTATAATATTTCTTTATTATATATAAGTTGTAATTTGGCTTTAGTCACATTTGTTTGTAAAAATTTTAAGTAGTTTATGAGTAAAAATTTATAAAATTATCTTTTTATTTATGATTTTCAAGCTCTTTGTAAAATGAAAAGATATTTAACTAATATAGGACGAAGAAATATATGTTAAGGTTCATTATAGAATTTATAAATTTTAAATTCAAATTATCTCATTTCGTGCGGAAAATTCAAGCTTCTGATATATCACGCTTTTTTATATTAAAAAAATCATATTAATTTGATATTCGTAGTTGTAAATTATCGTGTCAATTTAACAAGTGCATAAGAAATTATTAATTTATTTTTATGAAGATGAATACGTTTAAATTTAAATAATTTTATATTTAGATTTTATTTCATTTAAGATATGCAAGAATATTGCACCAGCAGATTGAAATGATATTGAAAAAAGTTGACTATATTAAAAGCTCAAAGGTGGTCAACAATTATAAAGACTTTTTGGCTGTTGTTTTGTTTGTTAGTATTAAAATAAAAAGGAAAAAAAAACTAAATACAATTAAGATAGTCAACATCAGTAATTAATCTAATCATTTTCCTTTTTAGAAATTCAAAGCTTCATTACATTCAGATTTTCTTACTTTATTATTTAAGAAGCTTAATATGAGTTGGTAAAATCTAATGAACTAATAATCAATTAAAAAGTTCTATCATTCGTTATTTGCACATTCATCATTCATTGTTAAGTAATCGTCTGAGAATGTCGAATCAGGTGTCACTTTTGGGTAGGAAGGATCCGTTAGCGATCGTATGGAAAGCAGCGACCATCCCAAGCAACTTAAAAAAATCTCAATATGCTTCTACCAACGTTCTATCATCTCTTGGTTTGTTCTCTAAATTTTTTAATTTTAATTTATTTTATTTGCTTACCTATCAAATCTTCCTTTTTCTTCTTTATGTGGAAATAGATGATGTTTTTTTTTTCATCTTCTGAGTCTTTTTTGTTTGATTGTAATTTCATTTAATTTGATAAATGTTTCTTCTTTTACATTTAATAAAAAAAAATCTCTTTTTCAGTATATGATGGATGTTTTCATGTTATGTGATGTGTTTTAACTCTTCAGGCGAATTTATTGATAAATTTTATTACTCTAAAGGTGTGTATAAAATTAAATGTCAGAAACATAAATGAGAATATATGTATGTAGTAACTTGACACAAAATGCTATGTAATTTCGATTTTCAATTTAAGTTCCGTGACTTCATTTGGTGTAGTAAATTATTCATGCGGCTATTCATATTCTATCCTGACAATGAAATTGTTTTCATTTTAAATTGTGATTTTTTTTAAGATAAAAATTTATTATCACTTTATAGTAAAGTTTCTAAATGTATTATATAAGAGGGAACATATGTATTATATTTGAATCAGGCCATGTTTTTAAATGCTTATTAAGCTTCATTGGTATATTCAAAATTATGTTGCTCGGTCACCGCATCCATGTCAGATCCTTCAAAAATAGTACTAGGACTCGACATACACATTAATGAAGAGTTGTTATATTCTCTCATAAAGAGCTTCATTTGGTTGTTGGTATCCTGAATCTTGTGAATAAAGCAAGATTTCAAAAAAGGCAAGAAATATATAGCAGTAGCTTTGATAGGCTTATAATTATGGAAGTGTTTGCTTAATGAATTGAAATGTTTGTAGAGCTCATCAAGTCTCCGACCAAACGTTTTGAACTGAGACAATCTGCATACCTACTGTTTGGAGTGGTGCGGATACACTCTAAGCAAGTAGAATACTTTCTGCATGACTGCAAAGCTCTAAAAATGGGGATAAGAAAGGCAATTTTGTCAACCAAAGATGCTGCTCATGCACCTTACAACTCCATCACCTTGCCAAAAACTTTCCAACTTGATTCCTTCGACTTTGAAGATGATCTCCACAACCTTAATAGGTAATGAAACTTGTATTTATCTACGACTATTTTAGTTTTAGTCTGCATATAACTCTACATACATGCATTTTGATTAACAGAATTGAGGATAAGAATCTAAAAAATAACGAAGAGATAACTTTGCAAGGTATGTGTTTTTCTTCTTGTTTACTTTATTTCCTATTTCATTATAATTAGTAATGATACTTTAAAACTTATTTGTCACATATATATAGATGAAATACCAGTGCGAGAAGATCCTATACTCATTAGTGAGGTGAGTTCATCTCTTTGCTTAAAGTGTCAATATATATATTATTCTACACTGGTAACATCATTTTGATTAAGAGTTTGTTTAATTTTTACAGGACGTAGATGAACCGGAATTTATGCTTGATGTTGTCCATGATCATCATGATCCCCTATGGGATGATCATGTAATGGACCCTGATGATGGTTTGGAAGAACTAATGACCATGACTGACAACGGAACTGCAAACCTGGAGGTGGAAGAAATGACAGAAAATGAAGAACCACCTTCTGTTATTTCAGCAGATCAGGTTCAAGAGTTCACTATTAATCCACATGAGATATCATTTGGTGGGTGCAAATTAAAACTCTTAAATCTTAAACTCAAAGTATATAAGTTACTATAATGTATATACTTTAATTCTCTATTTTCATGCATGGATATTCAGGACATCAATCAGCTGATCATTTAGTACTTCAATCAACACCAAAGCTAATGAGAAAAAGACGAAAGCTACTCATTGATGCTGAAACAGAACTGTATGTTATTGTCAGTTTGATATAAATAAAGATTTTTCTTTAACCAATTAATTAATCTTTCTGACAATGTTCAACATTTTTACAGTGAAAGTAATATGCAACTAGGTACATTGAAACGTCGGAGAAAGAATGCTCTTTTGTTTTTTTTGATGAATAGATCGAAACTAAACAAGAAATGCAGAAAAGATGGAATGTCATTTGAGCCTTTATTAAATGGTAGGTCTATATCTCAAAAAAATTTAATTTTTTTCAAAAAATAAAAATCTAATACTCTATGTAAATTTGTAGGATTATGTGATGATCTTCGCAACATCTGTAAGGAAGACATCGTTTCAACGAAACTCAAGATGGCTTCCTCACAGGCGGAGGAGGAGCAGGATCATGCTGAATCGAGTGATGGATTGTCAATGGATGGTTTCACTCCTTCGACATGTTACAAAGAGGATACCATTATGTCTGACATTCATGAGTTTGATAGTTCTGCTGAGGTATGTTTGCTTCATCATTGAATATTGAAGTATCAATTTACTTCTCTAATTATCTAGATAGCAATTTAACCAAATTTTATATTATCTAGAGTAATATAATTAGATCTGGATTTTGAATATTATATTACTTAATGAAAGAGACTTGTGATTTTTTCTATTTTAGGCTAAGAGTTCTACTACTGAGATTGCCATGAGCATATCTAGAAATTTTGAACCCTAAACATTTGTAATATATACTTCATTGTTACCTGTTTTACATCTGATAAATCGATAGATACTGATGCAGGATTTGAGTTTTCTGGATCAAGAAGACAGGACTCCTTTTGGTGAGCAAGGAGGAACAACAGAGTTTGATACATTACCTGTCAGAACAAGGTATGTAAAACGTATTCTTCTCATTAATATATATATATATATATATATACTATACAGTTAACTTTACTGGATAGAGTAATATATATATATATGTTTGTAGAACGGTGGCTCGATTTTTGCAAGAAAAGTCACCCATCTCAGAAGATATCAACCTAAACACAATACTCCAGGGCAAAAACAAGAAAATGTGTGTCCGAATGTTTTATGAGACTTTGGTAACTGTCTTTTACTATCACTTTTTAGTTGCATAAATTGAGGAATTATTTTATCAGTTTTTTCTTGTGTTTCCTTCCTTTCAGGTGTTAAATAATTGTGGACTTGTCAACGTGAGTCAAAACGAACCTTATGGTGATATAACTTTGAAAGTTACTTCCAAATTGAAGGAACAACTTTCAACCTCAAGTTTTTGAGATTTTTATATAGAGGTAATAATTGCGTCCTACTTTTTAATTACCGTTGTGTTTTAAAAAAACAAAGATATACACATTCTAATATACGCTTGTACATGTATGTATATATATATATATATATGTTTTTCTAACATCTAATCTAATATTTTCTAGGTAATGCAGTTAAAATCATTGGGGAGACAATACAGGCCTTCAACAACTATATGAGAGTAACAAATGGTTTCAAGTATATTTGCTTATAAACAAGTACAACTTATTTTTTAGCAATAAATTTTCAATCTTCTGCAGTATTAAGCCTATCCAGTACTTTAAAAGCAAAGCTAAAATGCTTCTAAATCAATCAAGTATTTTCGTTGATTGTTTTAAATAATGAATTATTATATTTATATTTAGGTTAAAATATATTTTTTCTCTTAACATATTTTTATGATTTATTTCATTGTTAATTATTTTTTAATTTTGACATACTGAAAATTATCAAACTATTTAACTAATTCTTTTTTTTGGAATTACTGTTGTTATATTACCAAAAATGATGGTGCAAGCGTATTAGGACTCTTATTATTGTTTATTTATTTTGCCAAAAATTAGATATTAGGTATTACACGAGTTCTTCTCATAAACAAATTCTAATCCTTAAGATATGGAAGAAAAAAATAATGACAAAATATCTATCATATAAAAATTCTAACACTAAAAATAATGATACGACTGTTTCCTCAAATTCTAACCCTAATTAGTACTTCAATGTATTTATAACACTTAAACCTAATCCACATATATAGCAGCATTAAATCAAATCATTTTAAATCATACTTGAAAACCTCAAACTTTGGAAGACATTATTCTCTGAGCCTTATTTTAAGAAGCAGCATCACAAAAATCAACTTGATTCCCAAAAATTGCTTATTCATATTCGTCAGGATTTAAGTTTGTGTTGCACTTCTTTATCTCCACTTATTAATGATATACATACAGTTTCAAAACCACCATTCAGTCATTATTAATTATATGGTTTTTGCGATGCCTTGTTTCTCATCAGGATTTGGACCAGACCTTCGAACTTCCCCTTCAGAATCAATAGAACTTTTAACCAAACTAAGCCATTTAATTGGTCGTATATTTCTTTTATTAAGGTGTAATAGTTTTGCCTACCCACCCTTATTTAGTTTGAGTTACTACCATTACTTAGTACTACAACTATAATTTAATTATTTTGTTGCTTAATTTTGTGCTCTCTCGTCCTATTCTTTTTCACCTAGCTATATTTTTATTTTGCACGTTGTTGATACAGCTATTGATTGGATTGATTTTTAAAGCAAATTCGTCTTGTCTAAATTATTCAAAAAATAATGAAAAAAAAGAGTGAATTTCATTCTTAGTTTTCAACTAATCTTTTGATAATTTTATAAAAGAATGTTCAAGTAAATTTTGTCAATCTGACACCAAGTTTGTTGTCAAGCAGGCTACTTAAGTATAACTAGTAATCTTTTCAAAATAATTTTTAGGCTTAAGACATTGACGTTTTTTTTAATCTTCCGCAAGATTCAATCCAACATAAATCTATATCAAAGTAATTCAACAATAAAAAATCACATTATATAATAATTAAAATGAAATGAAAGTTCTTCAACCAAAACAAATCAATTGTGGAACTCAAAAAAATTGGCACAGCTCAATTTTTTTTACTATTGATACAAACTCATTAATTTTCTAGCATAACTCTAGCCTTTCTTTATCTTGTTTGCAGTGAATTTAAAATGATAAAAAAAATAAGTTACAATCACAATAAAATATGATCGAAACGTAATGATAAACTTTGGTAGGTACAAATTTATTTACTATCACAAAACCCAATAACCGTTAACAGTGATAATAGTAGGGCCATAAATTCTTTCATTTAACTTCAAATGGTAATATTATTTTCTTTCATTCATTTTTATTTGTTATATTACGTTTTTTAAAAATTAATTTGACTGATTTTTAAAGTTAAATTAGATTGCATTAACTCGATTTTTTAAACAAAAAAATTTAAATATTCAAAAATTATACGAAAAGTACTATACATTACAATTTTTTGCATATCAATATAATGAAAAATTATATCCTAAAATATCACTCAAGGTTTTTATAGTTTGACTCTAAATATGAAAAGTATGACAATTAATAATGGACGGGAAAAGTATTATTATTTATAAAAAATAAGAATGGACTCGATAATGTCTTTAAATGTTTTAGATGAGAATTACAAAAGAATACCCTTACCAAAAAATGTGTGTTTATCCCCCTAAAAACATAAATGGGACAGTGTATCTGTATTGAGTAGTAAGCTTTGTGTTTTTAATAACAACGAGGTTACTTTCAATTTATGGATAATAAAAGAATATGACGTTTAGAAATCTTGCACAAAGTTACTCCCATTACCAAGTAATGGAGCTATTTCAATTATACACATATATAGTTTTTCTGAGGGTAATGTGCTACTTCGATACCAATACCTTTATAGAGAAAGTATTTATTAATGTAGAAGTTATTGATAGAATAATTATCAAAACAAAAGTTATTGATAGAACTGAGAATTGAATATGGTCTTTGAATTGTGATGATATTAATCCACTTTCCTTTTTCGAAGACGAGTTTGTTTATACGACAAGTTTGATCAATCTAAAAGAGATTGATGCATGACATTTTTTAAAAAGCATAAAAGAGAAAATTTGCAAGAAAAAACAGAATAAATTAACCTATTGGGCTACCACCATTACTTAGCACTACAACTTTATTTTCATATTGATGTTAATTTTGCACGTTGATATGCTTTGTTGATACAACTATATAAGTGAGAACTATTGGATCGTTTTTTAATTTCAGAAAATGATATCAATTTTATTGTTAGTTTTCTCGTTCAATTAGTTTGATAATTTTTAAAAAGGATATTCAAATGCAAGATAATTTATCACGAAGTTTGATATATATATATATATATTTTTATCATAAACAGTACACAATCTCCAGCAGCTTGCTAATAACTATAGAAATTTTTTCTAAAATGACTTTTTCACTTTTGGTGTACGTTTTTATTGGAATATTCTAAAGAATATTTTATTGTGATTTTGAATTAGTAATTACGTGTCCGGTTCAAGTGTTTTGACTCTCTATATGCTATTCTCGGTAAGTATTTTTATTTATTATGTTGCGTTTTTTAAAAATTAATTTAATTAATTTTTAAAATTAAATTAAATTATGTTAATTTGATATATTTTTTAAAATATATATATATATATTTAAAACTATTAGAAAAGTAATATAAACTATATTTTTTGCATATTAAGATAATCAAAATTTTTGTAATTTAACTTTTAAAACATCATAAAAATTAATTATGAAGGGAGAAAATATATTAAGTCACCAAATGTAGCTAATTACTTGTCTGCTCCACTAATTGGCTTACATGACATGACAATCCTCACAAGTCAACACCGTCCTTTTATTTCAACCAACACGCTATTCACAAACACACATGAAAAGTGTCTAACCTTTATAATTACTATTTTTAAAAATATTAATGATCATATCACATGAATTATTATTGTTATTACCATTATTATAGGCACCTATATCACTAATTATAGTGCAGTTTTGTAAATTGCTCCTAAATAGAGGTACATTTAAAGATTAATTGTAACCCTCTCCCTTCTCCAATTTAATTTGAATTGAATTTATTTACCTCATAAAGAGTAACGTGGCATCTGTATCACCAAACTTTTTTAGAAGCATCTGAGAAAGAAAAAGACACTAAAAATTGATACATGTCACCTTTTTATTGAATAACAGACTTAATGACTTATTTTACTAATTTTTAAATATTTAATTTTGAATTAACTTTTCTCCATCTATTTTTCCTTTTTGTTCTTTTTCTGGATCTTCTCCATTTTTTTTCCTCTTCCCATAATTCTCTCTTTTTATCTTTCCATTTAGTTGAAGCAAATATTTACTTCAAGTATAACTTCCTCCACATTTCTTCTTCTTCTTTTTTTTAATCCTTTCTTGTTTCTATTCACTGACACTATTTTTAGCATCAATTAACATTATTAGATTTATCAGTTTAAAGAGTTATTAAAATGAAGTTAATTTCTATTAAAAAGAAAATGGAAGATAATGTTGGTAAAAGATAACCTATGAAGATTTCGTCCAATTCATTAATAAATTTTTATTTTTATGCAAATAATATTTTTTAATCTTTGAGGAAGATGGTATGATGTAACTAAATTGAAAATGTAACTGAAATTGAATTATAATTTGTATATTGAGGACTAAATTTACTGATAGGTTTAACTTTTGGCTCAATATTAAAAAATACAATTATTATGAAGATTTAAACAATTAATTAGAAATTTAGTTAATATACACGTGGACTTATGAGGACAAGTTAAGGGAGTGGGGATTTTCTTTTAGACTCCAGAATCAAAAGGACAATAAATTTATTCAAAATTTTCAAAAAGGACAACTCAATATATATTACTTTCATACAAAAAATATATATTACTTTCATACAAAAAGGGCAAACATTTTGTTACTTTTCCTGATGGTATTAAAGATAGAATTTTTTAAAGTAAGACTCAAATGTCGATGAGTCTTACGAGACTCAAAAATTATAAGACTCAAATCCGCCTCAACTTAAAAATTGCGTTTTTTTTTAAAACATGAAAATAAATTTTGCTTCTTTTGGATCGACATTATAAATTCACGTTTCATGCTAATTTTGTAAACATAATTTTTTCAACAATCTAAAAGAAATTAAATTACAAAATTGATTTGATTACTAAAAATAAATAATAGAATCTCAAAAGATTGCCAGTCCATGACTTCTGTTAATTTTTGATGAAAATAAAAATAACTTAAATAAGTTAGAAAATGTTTGACGAACAAAGTTAAAATATATTATATTTTTATCAAAATTCTTAAAAAATCAGAGCTTTTCATTTTTTTTTATCTACAAAATA